ATCCAGTCAGGCTAGCAGCTTACCTAACAGCTGTTCGAGTATGTCAATCTAAATATATCTAATATCTTAATAGTCGGTTTTCTTATTCGTCTGTTGGATTTCTATCAAAATTACAATCTTAAAGTGTCAGTAAAAGTAAATATCTCTGCCACCAATGACACAATTATTAGTATTTTTAGAAACATATGAGTGAATCACTGAAATTGGTGTTGGACTGGGATTTTGGAGTTCGTCTTGTACAAAATGATGGTACTAATTGTGTTTTGTTATTCTCACAGCTTCGAGAGTATGCAGAGACTTTGTGACAAGTACAACAGGGCCATCGACAGCTTCCACCAGCTGGTGAGTCCGTATGTGTGAAAGGCCTTCAGTGCTCTGTAGGTGAAACATTAGTCACTGAAAGTGAACCACGCTGTGTGTGTGTGTGTGTACGGCGAGTCTATCACAGCTTTGAATCATTGCTGCATATGACCTTCCACTGTCTTACAATAAATACTTTTAATGATCACTCTTGCTACAATATTTGTGTCACAAATTATCTCATTTATGGAATCTTTTTAAAACAAAACAAATCAAGTGTATTCATTTGTCTTTGTCCTTGAAAGGCCAGCCCCACTGCACAATATGTGACTCTGATGTGTGGGAAAATTATGGATTGTTTTGAGTGTGTGAATATGTAAGGGACAATGTCCGTTGTTACTGTTTGAACTATGTAGCAACGGCAGGAACTGCTTCGATAGCGTTTTCTTGCGAACCTTTTTGATAACAGATTTGAAAACATTGTTGCTTGCTTTAAAAGTAGCACAATTCATAATCTCAAACCTTGGAAAGTATCTACATGTCCCTGCCCTGATGCCAAAGTAACTGGCAACTGAATATGTTTTGCCGTTTGATGTTTATGTCTGGACTGTTGCGTAAAAAGGAGGGTTTCTGCCCCGTTACTTCTCCGCTGTTTTCTTGTCCCTCTTGTCTTGTCGGTTTGAAAACTGTATACAGTTAAATCGACCGAACTTCTTTCTGTAGATGTGAGCATCCTTAACAACGGCCAATAAGTCCTTGACAGCGGTCTGTCTGTTCTGGATTAACAACGTGTCACGTGTTCTGAATTGACCAATCAGAATCAAGTATTCAACTAAGCCATGTAATAAATATATATGATCTGCATTTTATAGTGGAAAGGCACGACCCAGCCCATGAAGCTGAACAAGCGACCTTCCAACGGGCTGCTGAGACACATCCTGCAGCAGGTGTACAACCACTCAGTGACCGACCCCGAGAAGCTCAACAACTACGAGCCCTTCTCCCCCGAGGTGTACGGAGAGACCTCCTTCGACCTGGTGGCTCAGATCATCGACGAGATGGAAATCATGGAAGACGACACCTTTGTTGACCTCGGCAGCGGTTAGTCAGCTGTTATTTTGTGAACTCAATTATGCTGTAAATAAGTATTTGATCCCTTGGAGATTTTGTAAGTTCACCAAGTACATTTTCTTTTTGATACTCTCACTGTTAAAAATAAACCTACCATTACATTTATAGACTGTTCATTTCTTTGTAAGCGGGTGAACTTACAAAATCGACAAGGGATCAAATATTTGTTTCCTCCACTGTATCTGCATGATACAACTTATTTTAAAACATTTTTGGTACCAGGTCCTTCACTCTGTTTGGCTTTCCCACTTTGGATAAACCATTGCAGGCTGAGAGCTGAAGCGATGATAGTGGACATTTCAGTAACATCCTCTTAATGTGCTGATCCTTTAAATGGCAGCAAACCTTCTGTCTGCATTGTGCTGAGTCCTTTCGGGCTGCCATTTAAAAAAAAGATCTTAGTGAATTGACTGAATAAAAAAAAATCTCGCTATTGAGCGCAGCTTGACTTTTTAAAAAGTTTTCAGGGCAGTGATTATGTTTTGAGTTGTAGGAGTGGGTCAGGATGCCAATGCAGGTGTGAAAAATCGTTTTCAACAGAATTATTGTCAAGATATAAGTAATGTTTTCTGTTTGATGCAAGACATGACCCTATTGTTTTCCTATTTGCAGGAGTGGGGCAGGTAGTGCTCCAAGTTGCAGCAGCAACCAACTGTAAACACTACTTCGGTGTAGAGAAAGCAGACATTCCAGCTACCTATGCAGAGGTGACCACATAATTATGGCAGGACCAGAGGGCTATTCCAGAGAGACAGCGGTGTTGGCGCAGTGCAAATCACCTCTGGAAAATAAAAGCCAAGCCGAAAGTTTTCCGCTGTGTGTTGCCTTTTGCGTCCAATCCGTCTCCAAAGTGGATTTCCTGGTTCATTCTTTATCTTCTTATCATTACCCTGTTGCAACACACCAACACCAGCATTTTGTTGGATAATAATATGCAAATTCTTTCTCTCAGAGCATGGATAACGAGTTTAAGAAGTGGATGAGATGGTACGGAAAGAAACATGGGGAGTACACAGTAAGTTGAATATCATAATAAACACTTTCAAAACCTTTTAATATTGTTATGTAGAGCCACAGGTATTAATTATTGTCTGTTGTGTTGCTTTCAGCTGGAGAGAGGGGACTTTCTCTCTGAAGAATGGAAGGAAAGAATTGCCACCACAAGGTGTTACACCAAACCGGACCGGCGCAACCGTCTGCAAGACACATTTTCCAATAAATATGACTATAAATAAGAATATTTATAAGCTGACTTTATACACAGAGAGACTGGGCATGTTGAACATGTAATGCAAAAGCCCAGTCCCTAATAAAAGCTACTAATTTAAACATATTTACTTATTATTATTATTAAATCTAAGTTTATAAAGGTCCAGAGTTGAATGCCTAAAGGCAAACAGTTAGCAAACGGACCTTCAGGAAAAGTCTTAAGCTTAAGCGTTCGTGTTGTTTGACATGGCCGAGATATATTAGTGAAATTAGAGAAGTCACTTTGTCCTTTTATAAATGTGTCTGCAGAACTTTGCCATAACATTCATCTCTCTTTTTTTTGTTGCCAACTGTCAATCTAAAATGTTTTCTTTTCTGTCTGTCTTGCAGTATTATTTTTGTGAATAACTTTGCCTTTGGTCCAGAGGTAGATCACCAGCTGAAGGAGCGTTTTGCTAACATGAAGGAAGGTTAGTATTTAACGGCTAAATACAAGATATGTGTGTGCAACCATGATTCGATTTTCAAAGGGGAATATGTTGTACTTCTTATAATGCATTCACTCAACCATAAGTGTGGTCAATATAGACTGGCCTTTCCCAATCAATTAAAAAAAGATAGAAACATGTGGTATATAGTGGGATTATCATTCTACTGATCCTGTGTGTGTTTTTACAAGTCATTCATTGGCGTGTACAGGGGAAAAGATCAGCCACAACAAATTGAGACATTTTGCGAGGCCTATATAATAAAAAGTTGACAAAAAAAGCTTTTAAAGATCAGGTGACAACATTTAATTTGTGTAAAAAAAATCAAGGCCTTTTGTTGGCCTCACTTGAAACAAACTTCCTGGAAACATATTTATTCAGCTGTTCTTGTTAATAATTAAAACCACAATGGCTGATAGAATCCAGCAGACGCTTTTCCCCGACCCTTCGACATCACTGTGTTCCATATTGTTAGATTTATCTAGTGAGCCATAGATACTATCTATGTCAACTGTACAACAGTATCTAAAATATATTTAAATATATTCCAAATATTATCTATAAATGTGAGATAGGAGTGAAGGAGTTCAAGTATCTCGGGGTCTTGTTCTCGAGTGAGGGAACAATGTAGCGTGAGATGGGTCGGAGAATCGGAGCAGCGGGAGCGGTACTGCAGTCGCTTTACCGCACCGTTGTGACGAAAAGGGAGCTGAGCCAGAAGGCAAAGCTCTCTGTCTACCGCGCCATTTTCGTTCCTACCCTCACCTATGGTCATGAAGGATGGGTCATGACCGAAAGAACGAGATCGCGGGTACAAGCGGCCGAGATGGGTTTTCTCCGCAGGGTGGCTGGTGTCTCCCTTAGGGATAAGGTGAGAAGTTCGGTCATCCGGGAGGGACTCGGAGTTGAACCGCTCCTCCTTCGCGTCGAAAGGAGCCAGTTGAGGTGGTTCGGGCACCTAGTTAGGATGCCACCTGGGCGCCTCCCTAGGAAGGTGTTCCAGGCACGTCCAGCTGGGAAGAGACCAAGGGGTAGACCTAGAACCAGATGGAGGGATTATATCTCTTCGCTGGTCTGGGAGTGCCTTGGGATCCCCCAGTCAGAGCTGGTTGATGTGACCAGCGAAAGGAACGATTGGGGCTCTCTGCTGGAACTGCTACCCCCGCTACCCCCAGCGACCCCACCACGGGAGAAGATAGATGGATGGATCGATGGATGGATTATCTATAAATGTATTTACTGAATCTGTTTTCTCTCTTGTTTTTTTTATTTCCACAGGTGGAAAAATTGTATCTTCCAAACCTTTTGCACCTTTAAATTTCAGAATAAACAGTCGAAACTTGAGCGGTAAGTAGCAACATTTAGTGGAAACACAGATTGAATGTCTTATGCTTCCTTCGATGTGTATCTGACATGCAGCGCTTTGTTTTTCCTCTCTCCTGCAGACATTGGTACGATAATGCGCGTGGTGGAGCTCTCTCCATTGAGGGGCTCTGTGTCCTGGACTGGGAAGCCAGTTTCCTACTACCTGCACACCATAGACCGCACTATAGTAAGCACTGACGCTCCTGAAGAAGGATCCACATGCTGACACTAGAACGTCTATTAGAGGAGATCTTGACAAACCAATCGAATGACTGCTGAGGCGGTACAAACATATTCTGCATCAGAGACAAAAAACGCACCAAACTCCTGAGATGGGCTGACTCACTTTCTTAATGAGCAGTCAGTCCCAGGAGTGATTAACCTGAGGAAAGCAGAGGGTAACACATTAGATCAGAGGTCGCGTTAACCGAATATTTTCCGTCTATGAGGTGACGCTAACAATGACGAAAAAATCTGAAAGCATTCCGTCATTTTGACAGATTAGAACAAACTCAGAACAGCACCAAAGTTTCCCCGCAGCGAGGCTCCGGTGTGATG